AAAAAATAGAAGAGAGACAAGGTCTCGCTATGCTGCTGAGGCTGGTCTCAAACTCCTGAGCTCAAGTGTTAACTCCCACCTCGCCTCCCAAAGTGCTGGGATTACCGCAGCACCTAGACATAAGTGTTTTGCTTTTTTTTTTTTTTTTTTTTTTAATTCTGGAAAACCAGAGACTTACTGTTTGTTAGAGAAGCCTTTTTGTTAACCAAGTTAAGAGGACCGTACCACTTCATTTTGGGAGGATGTTTTTATTCCTTCTGTCTTGGATTCAAGAACATCTGGGTGTTAATTCTTGCCTCTTCTTACAGGCAGGGAGAATTTAAAAGAGCCTGAAAGAATATGTATGTGCCTCTTGACATTTCAGCAGATGCTTCAGCAGAAACGAGATTGGCTCTTTCAAAAGTTTCACCTAATGGTTTGTGCCTGAGCTGCGTGATCCTCTTGACCCTGTAAAGGAGGCAGCAACGTGAGTTTGAGGGCTAGACTTGTCAAATGGCTGTAGTTGCCCAAAGAATTTTGGATCCGATCTCTCACCTTTGATGGGAATGCAATAACAAAGCCTCACCCACCTGGGGCCTGTTGCCTTTTGCTGAACGAAGTCCTGTCAGCCATTTAGTACAGGCAGAGGCTTCACCCCAGCTGGAAACCTATGAGTGAGGCCTAAAAATCTGAGCTTCCCAGAGTGTGTGGGAAACTGAATATTAGCGGCCACAGCATTCCCGACTCCGAGACTTGGATGGAGCTTGTGCATTCCTTGCTTACAGCCATTTGGGTCTCCAAAAGGCAGAGAGGTTTAGCCAGAGCCTCCTCTCAGCAGTTGCTGGGTGCCCAATCCCTTGTCACCTTGAAGTTCTGTTTAATCCTTCACCTTCACAGCAGCACCACAGCAGTGGAAACAATGAAAGTCAGCCACACCCGTGGAAATTCATGTTGGGGAAAGAAGGCAGGCGAAGGATCAAAGCCTCTTGTAACCCAAGAATTCCTCAGCAGCTCCAGTCCCTTAATAATTATGGTTTGGAGATTTGCCAGAAAGCAAAACCACTTAGCATGCCATATTTAACAATGAACAGTTTTCTGTGTTCCTAATAGTCACTGTGCAGAGCAAATAGGCACCTTGAACAAAGGGTAGGATATTTATATGTGTATATAAAATAACCCGCACCTACCTTAAACCTAAATATGTTTTCAGAGAAGAATGTGGCACGTCCCTCTGCACTGGTACCTGCTTTATGAGTAAGTTGAAGAAAAGCTGCATACTCTGCCCCTATCCCCACCTCTCCAGGTTTTTAAAATGGAAATCTTTGTTTAACCCAGAATTTCTCAAACATACTAAATAGTTACACTCTTTTGTTTCCAGCTGGGTCAAGTGTCTGTTTTGGTTTTGAAGTTTGGAGTGTTTTGTTTTAAATATCTACTAACGTTCCAAAAAGCCAGTGTCCCCAGGAAAACTTTTTGGGAAGTGATGGCCAAAGAGTGCAGGAAACAAGGATGTAGACCAGTGGGAGGACCAAGAAAACACATCCCAGGTCCTGAGGGGAGATGAACGAGTTTGTTGGAGGCCCAGGTCTCTCCATAAGCTTTGAGGAAACTTGGATCCAGGTTCTCCATGTCAGTTCATGTTCAGCTAGAGTTTATCCGACAAACATTTGTCACTGGGGGAAATTAGAGAAGAATGGCTGCTTGGAGGAGAGTTTGTTAGAGCCAAACCTTAAAGGATGGGCAGAATTTCAGGAGGAAAAGATGGGAATGATGGAGAACATTCCAGAAAGACAAGGGTGGCAAAGTGCAAGGCCCGTTCAGGAAAGGAATGTTAGTCTGGTACAAGCCTCAAGTGCATGAGTAGAGTGGGCTGAGATGAAACAGGGTGACACAAAGGACCTTTGAATCAAATAGTATTCTTTCAGATGCAAGTGACAGAATGTCCACTTGCCACTTCAGCATAGGGAGGCATATTGGATCATGGAACTGAGAATTCCAAGACTAAGACTGGCTTCAGACATGGCATGATTCGAGGACTTAAGCAGTGTCCCAAGGACCTGGTTTCTTGCATTTCTCCCTTCTGCTCCTAGGTTGATTCTGTTTTCGATCAGCTCACACTTTTCTTGGAGTTTAAGACGGCTACAGCAGCTCTAGCCTTTATATGTTCATTTACTCAAGTCCTGTGTCAGTATAATCCATTGCATTTTATTGGCTCTAGTTGGGGTCCAGGCCTATACCTGAACTAATCTCAGAGGCCAGATGCCAATGAAGGCATCGTATTCCCGGCCTCTGAGGTTAGTTCAGGGATAGGCCTGGAACCTATCTGGGGCAGGTACCCAGGCCTGGAGTTGAGGGTAGAATTAGCCCCCACTCAAACCACATGGACTAAAAGGTGTAGGGGAGGCTGGCTCTCTTGGGGGAAGACTGGGGTCAGCTATCCAAAGGAGGGTGAGTAGAAGCTAGGCAGCAAAAACAACAGATGTTTCCTAAAACCTGGAATGCCAGGCCAAAGAATCTGGATATCATTTACATTAGAGAACCAGTAAAGATTTTTTAACAAATAAGCGACGTGATCAGAGCTGCACGTTAACATTAATTCAGCTACAGTTTAATAGCTGCCATTTGCTTGGCACATGGTGGGTACTTAATATAATTACATATTGAATGAGTGAATGCAAAAAGAGAGATAGTTGCATAGCTTGAGAAAGGGGAGAGAAATTAAAGGTAGGCAGCATTTTTAGGTCATTGTAGTAGCTCAGAAGGGGAGCTAGCAAAGGGAGTAACAAAGTCACATCAAGAAAACCAAGAGGTTCCATTGTCATGAAACCCACATAAGGAAAAACTATCAAGTGGGCAGGCTTGGTCACCCATGGCAGACACTGCGAAAGGTCAGGTTCAGGATGATGAGGGTTGAGAAAATGTCATGAGTGAGAGTTGAGAAGGTTCAATAGTGGGAGATCAGAGCCATCTTTAAGGAGTTAGAAGTAAGTAGCAGGAGGCTGGGCATGGGCAGATCACTTGAGGTTGGGAGTTTGAGACCAGCCTGACCAATATGGAGAAACACCATCTCTACTAAAAAATACAAAATTAGCTGGGCATGGTGGCACATGCCTGTAATCCCAGCCACTTGGGAGGCTGAGGCAGAAGAATCGTTTGAAGCTGGGAGGCAGAGGTTGCGGTGAGCCGAGATCATGCCATTGTACGCCAGCCTGGGCAACAAGAGCAAAACTCCATCTCAAAATAAAAAAATAAATTAAGGAGGTAGGCACAGGGGCCAAGTGTTGACCACTCTATTACATCATCTATCTTCTTATCCTCCCCAATTGAAACTCAGCAAAAAAGGTGCTTCTTCCCCTGCACATATCCTTCACGCAGCACCTTATGCCTCCTCCATGACCTCTATCCAGCCACAATTCCCTTTCCTCCCAGGCGTCTTCAGGCTCTCCTTCTCTCCCTCCAGCAGCCCCTTCTCATAAAAATATTTACATCACTCCTCTTCCCTAAAACCACATCTCTTAGACCCTGATCTATCTTCAAGCCAATGTTTCAAAAGAGTCATTAGAGAAATTTTGACTTTGATGGGGAGGGAAGTTTGAGCTTATGTTGAATGTCCTTACAGAAGTCAAGATGACCTGTAAGAATGCGTGGTTAGGGAGTAAAATGTAGGGACAGGGAAAAAATTTATATAGAGGTTCAGTTAGGAATCACCAGAATAGGAAGGAAAGAATTACCAGAGGACACGGAGAGTCCAGCTGAGATTAAACAATATGAATTTATAGAGCTTCATCAGCAGACCGCCACTGCTCAGCTGGAATTGGTGGCTCAAAGTAGGACAGTAGATTGGATTTGGGGAGAGGTGGCTAGGGAGCATTGTTGAGCCTGGTGGCAGATCAGATTGACAAGGGCATTGAGGACTAGGAGAATCATCACAGGCCCAGGGAGTCCTGGATAATGTAGAATAATAGCCTGGGAGAAAGGTCAAGATCAAGGATGTGGTCAGCACTGGGGGACATGGGTAGTTTCTGTGGAAGAGGTAGAAGGTTAAACCATTGTGTTCAGAATATTCAAGAGGCCATATGATATGGGAGCCATTGTGTGCGGACTGTGTGGCTTAAATCCCAAATCCTAAACTGCATCTCTCTGTTATACCCCATTATAAAATGGGGCTCAGAAAACCTACTTTAAAAGGTCATTATAATTAATATATATGAAATACATATGACAGTGCCTTACACATAATTACCACTAAACATTCACAGTGATACTGAGGATGTTCATTTCAAAGTGATGATAAAACTTAGAATTTGAGATCTTGAGTTGAAACCATTCTAAATAATGAGAAGTTCTCAGATGTCATCATGGTTAATTGAGAATAGAGTAAAATCAGAGATGGGGAGTATTGATGAATTGAAGAGACTGAAGAATGGTGAAAGCAGTTACTGGGAGGGACATCTTTATGGATGTGGAAGTCACAGATAGGGCGGCCATGATGCAGTCATTGAAGAACAAGAATGGGGAGGTGGTTAGTATGGACATCAAAAGAGAGATTGTGGGGGAGGCAGGGAGACTGTCCAGGAGTGGCAGGAGTGTGCTGTTCCATCCAAGTCAGAGACGGGGACAGAAGGAACAGCCCCAACTGGGAAGTTAGGAGAATGGTAGCTTCCGCGAGGAAGAGAAAGAAACAGAAAGGATGACACCTATGGAGAATCTGCTCACAATACAACAGATCTGGATTGAGGGGAACTATTTTTTCATAAGAGCTTTTGAGCAAAACTATTCCCTGATTATGGGGACACGTTTGAAAAAAGTCATGAGGATAGGGGAGTAGGTAGAAAGGAGGTTTTAGAGTAGATTTCTGAGAAAGCCAACAGAAGGAGGCCCTGTTTCCTCACCTTGATTGTGAGGTGTGTGACATGAGGCAGGCTGGCTCAGGCCTGTGAGCTGATGCTGGGCATGCCCCAGGTAGACACAGCTCCCTGCCACATCTCCCACTCAGGAGCACAGTCCCGCGGTACCTTGGATTGCTGTATTTCCCAGACTGGTGTTCCGCCCACCGACAGAGAGAGGAACCAGACCAGGAGAGCTGGGATTGGGGGTTTCTGCTTTTCGAGAGCAGAGAGCAACAAATGGGTTTAAAGGAGAGGAAACAGGACACCAGCAGGCTTCGAGGCTGCCTTCTCTTCCAAGAGTGCTGCTCTGTAATGTAATAGTATTTGGACATTTTTTCCACATGATGTCAGGGAATAGCCTCCCTTAAAAGCCTTCATGAGAAAGCACAACTATAAAACAGACTCAGGCAGTGAAATGGAAACCAGACGAGTGAGTCTTTGTAATTTGGTTAAAGAGATTTCTCTGCAGCTTTGTGATCTGATCTGATCTCTGCTTTCTGCATAAAACCGTTTCACAGGATCCACTTACATTTGAGTCTTACCGCACAGATGATTTTGGATGTGAAATGTCTTGCTTTATTAACAGAAAGCAAGGGTTCCCTTCTCAGTGGCTGTGCAGACCACCGTCCTAGGCTGCAGCCTTTCAAGTCCTCTTGTCCTTGTGTGAGCCCAGGCCCCAGCAAGCAGGGAAGGAGGCCTAACCCCTTTTCACCCTCATTGTAACCCCTCTCTGTTCACCATCATCTGTCCACCCATCACCTCCCTTCTTAGGGTTCGTCTTTGGAGAATGTATCCTGGAGAGAAATAGTTACTGAAGTGGGCCCACTTTCCTGCCCCCTCCCTTTGCTTTAAAGCCTCAGAGGCACAGAATTAAATTATCCATCATCTTCTGTTCTTGACATACTCTCCTACTCATCCCTATAAGAGTTCTTCCCTTTTCTTTTATCTTAATTTTTATAGAGGAAGGGTCACACTGTGTTGCCCACACTGGTCTCGAACTCTTGGGCTTAAGGATCCTCCAACCTTGGCCTCCCAAAGTGCTGGGATTCCAGGTGTGAGCCACTGTGCCCAGCCCCTTTCTTTTTTCATATTTATATTTTATTGAAACAAAATTCACATCAAATTAACCATTTTAAAGTATACAGTTTCAATAGTGTTTAGTACTTTTACACCAGTGTGCAATCATTACCACTCTCTAGTTCCAGAATGGTTTCGTCACTCCCCTAAAAAACCCTGTCCCCATTAAGTAATCACCTCTTATCCCCCAGCCCCTGGCAACTATCAGTCTGCTTTCTGTCTCCATGACTTTTCCTATTCTAGTTATTTCATGTAAATGGATTTATATATGACCTTTTGTGCTTGGCTTTTTTCATTAAACATAACGTTTACAAGGTTCATCCATGTTGTAGCATGAATCGGCACTTTTAATTCTTTTAATAGCTGAGTAATATTCCATTGTACGGCTGTTCCACATTTTATTTATCCATTCGTCCATTACTGGATGGACATCTGGGTTGTTTCCACCTCTTGGCTGTTGTGAATAGTGCTGCTATGAACATTATGTATAAGCTTTTGTTTGGATGCCTGCTTTCAGTTCTCTTGGATATGTACCTAGGAGTGGAATTGTGGGTCACGTGGTCATTCTTTGACTTATTGAGGAACTGGAGGTCCTTTCTCGATGACATCCACCCCAGGTCTGCTCTGACAAGGAATAGCAGGCATGTTCCACCCTGTCCCCACCTCCCGAGACACTGAGAATTGGCACAGTGTCATCATTCTGTTAGACCTGGAAATAAATGGAAGGAAAAAGAGTATGGTCACCAAAGAGATGCTGGTAACAGAAGAAAGAAAGTTTGGATGGGGGTGAGAAGGGGAGAGGTACCGAGAAGATTCAGGGTCACTTGAAAAGATTTGACTAAAGCTCAGGAAGAACTTAAGAGAGACTCAGCCACCAAGAATGAAGGAAATTGTAAGCCTAACATACCCATGGCTGCTGCAGCCAATCCACTAGAGATACAAGAGAGCTGTGACCTTAAGGGGCGGGGAAGCCAGGGAGAAAGAGTCTTTAATGTTAAAGATGTCAGCCATTTGGGCTTTGTGGAAGCACTGAAGGCTTTTAGACTGAGATGTAGTCAGGTAAGAATTGTCTTAAACAGGTCACCCTGACCACAGGGAAGGGGAGAGCTTGGAGTCAAGACAAGACTAGAAGCAAGGAGCCTGGCGATTTATACCTCTAACCCCACATTTTGGGAGGCTAAGGTGGGAGGAATACTTGAGTCCAGGAGTTCAAGACTAGCCTGGACAACATGGCAAAACCCTGTCTCTACAAAAAATACAAAATTAGCTGAGTACGGTGGCATGTGCCTGTAGTCCCAGTTACTCAGGAGGCTAAGGTAGGAGGATCACTTGAGCCCAGGAGGTTGAGGCTGCAGTAAGCCATAATTGCACCACTGTACTCTGGACCGCCTGGGCAATGTAGTAAGACCCCATCTCCAAAAAAAAGAAGACTGCTGTTGTTCTGAGAGGAAGGTTGGTCAGGATGGACCAAGGAAATGGCAGTGGGGATGGAGAGGAGACAAGTTTGAGGGGTGCTTAAAAGGGAGCAGTTGTCAGGATGGGTAACTGTGGCTACAGAGGTGAAGGCAGAGCACAGGATGCTGTGGAGAGGAAAGGATAAAGCAAGCAGCAGCAGAGGAGGGAGCCTCAGAGCCCCGGAGCCCCAGAGCCGTGTACACACTGCCCAGAGAGCCCAGTCAGATGAGAGCTCGAAGCCAAGAGCACAGGGACAGGAAGGCCGTGGAGGCCCCCGAGGCGCTCCCCTCAGTGACGGCTCAATGCAGAGGAGACTTGCCTCCTTTTTCTTCCTTCAGGTAACAGAACTTTCAAAATGGATTCCGCATGTTTTGACTTCAACATTTTGACTTGGAGGACACTGTGACTCTACATAAATGCAAATTTCTAATCTGAATTATATGAACATTCATTCATTTCATCAAGAAATTATTTTCCATTGTAACTCCAACAGTCCACTTTAATTCCTTCATCAGTTTTCTATACGGAGCAGATGCAGTGGCTCCCACCTGTAATCCCAGCACTTTGGGAGGCCTAGGCAGGCAGATCACTTGAGGTCAGAAGTTTGAGACCAGCGTGGCCAACACGGTGAAACCCTATCTGTACTAAAACTCGAAAAAAAATTAGCCAGGTGTAATCACAGCTACTTAGGAGGCTGAAGTGGGAGAATCACTTGAACCCGGGAGGCAGAGATTGCAATGAGCCCAGATCCTGCTACGGCACTCCAGCCTGGGTGACAAAGCAAGACACTCTCTCTATATATGTGTGTGCATGCATGTGTGTGCATGTATGTGTATATACATATACATATTCTATACGAAGCAGTGAAGCCATTTCCTAATGTTCTCCCTTATTTTCTTAAATATCAACTCTTTGTTTGTTTTGTTTGAAGATAGGGTTTTGCTCTGGCACCCAGGTTGGAGTGCAGTGGTGCGATCACAGCTTACTGCAGCCTTGAACTCCTAGGCTCCAGTGATCCTCCCACCACAGCCTCCCAAGTAGCAGGGACCACAGGCATGTACCACCACAGTCAGCTAATTTTTACATTTTTTTTGTAGACACAGGGTCTCACCATGTTGCCCAGGCTGGTCTTGAACTCCTGGGCTTGAATGATCCTCCCACATCAGCTTCCTAAAGTGTTGGGATTATAGGCATGAGCCACTATGCCCAGCACTTTTATTTTTTATTTTTTAGATGGAGTCTGGCTCTGTTGCCCAGGCTGGAGTGCAGTGGCATGATCTTGGCTCACTGCACCCTCCGCTTCCTGGGTTCAAGCGATTCTCATGCCTCAGCCTCCTTAGTAGCTGGGATTACAGGTGCCCACCATCACATCTGGCTAACTTTTATATTTTTAGTAGAGATGGGGTTTCAGTGTGTTGGCCAGGCTGGTCTGGAACTCCTGACCTCAGGTGTTCCACCTGCCTTGGCCTCTCAGTGCTGGGATTACAGGTGTGAGCCACTGTGCCCTGCCATGCCTAGCCTTTAATAGTGATTTTATTTTTATTCAAAAATTTTAGTAGGACTTTTCATGCCCAGTTTTAGACCTTGTAAGTTTTTTGTGTTTATTTCCACCAAGTCACAATTTTCCCCCAGTCATTGTTTTGTTGTTAGCTGCAGTTTTCAGAATTACTAACAAAATGACTCGTGGGTAGTTACTGTGAATTTTTTCATGTACTGCCATTTTCAGTGTAGTCTGATTCTCTTCGCTAGTGACATTCACTGCAAAGTGGAAAACAGCCTGCTTCTTCCCGGAGTCCCTTCTCCCAGCCTCTCCACTGAAGGCCTGGTGCTTAAAGGAAGGGAAGTTTTCTGAGCAGTGGACCCCTGGGGTCCTGAAACCCTGCTCAGATGCTCCTGTTAGCAGGTAACTTCAAGCCATCCTGTAACAGTTTGAGCTTTCCTCCTTTTTAGTTGGCCCAAAACCTAGAGTCTCACTGCCCTCTAATCTCTGACTTGTTGTCTCTTCTTTGGCGTGTTCCTGAAAGAGGTTTTCTGTGGATCTCTCCCTTCTCTTACCTGCCCCACAGGCTTCTCCACACTCGGCGTCAGCCTAGGGCCATGTCGGAGGTGGTTTCCCATGCCTTTGGGAAGTGTACAGTCACTCCAGGGAGGCTGCTGGGGAGTGCTGGCCACCCAGGACAGATAGGAAAAGCCTTGAGAGGGCTGGGAGTAAACTCCCTTTCAGGATACAAAATTCCCAGAAACTTCAAAATCGCAGGCGTTTTCATTTTCAACACTGTAAATCTTAAAATCACGTGGTGAGTTTAAAAGTCATTCATACCTTGATTTGCTCATTACATTACCATCTACTGTGTTTGTTCTATTTAGAGCCATAAAAGCCTAGGTGTGAGGTAGGGGTGCCTAATAAGGGAAATTTCTGGATTCTGTATAAGGCTGGGAGGTGGTAAAGACTTCAGGAGAGAAACATTATCTTCTTGAATTTTTCTGATGTTCAGTTTCTGGTCTTCAGTTACACCTCAGGACCATCTGCACCACTACCACCCATATCCCACCAGTGTGTTTTGGGAGCCAGGCAGTCCCCTGTCTTGAGTTCTGTGCTGTGTTTGCAGTACCTCAACTGAGCATGTTCTTCAAGGCTAGCACAGTGCCTTTTGCTCATGACAGCTCTGTTGAAATGAATTGGTTACTTGCTTTCTTCCTCTCTCCCACCTCAAGCCCTGAATAAGCTCAGAGGGTGGAGGGTGGCAGTGGGAAGCCAGGCAGGTGATGCTGAGGGCCAGGGAAGCTTCACAAAGAGCTCAGAGGGAGCCAGTCAGTCTTAGGAGCTCAGGCCGAGAAGAAATTTCCTACACAAGGAAGTTCCAGTAGTGAAGTAAGCTAAAGAAAACTGAAGTGATGTCAAGGAAAAGAAAAAGAACAGTTTCAAGATCCAGGCTGGTCAGTAAGGAATGTGGAATGTGTCCTCTGAGCCGGCGATGAACTCTGTCCAGGCAGAGGAAGAGGAGGCTGATGGAAGGCAGACCTCAAGTTGCCCAGCACTTACCAGTCTGTGGAAGCCTCCCTCACTGGCTCATGACATGGGCAGGGAAGAAAGAAGGCTGGGTGCTGTAATGTCCAGGAGGAGTGCTCGGGGGTGAGTGGCCATGCAGATAGGAATGAAGTGCGAGGCACTTACCACCTGTGCAGAGTTGGAGACGATCAAACCCTCTGGGAGGCTCTGCAGAGTGAAATCACCAAGGAACAGAGGGAGGGGCTCATCTGCTGTGGAGGGACTGGCTTTGCACTTTGCACAGGAAGGGCATGACACAGTTCAGGGCAAAGGAATCATCACCAGATGCAAGAATGCCAAATGCAGGCTGGATAGGCCCCATGGTTTGCTCTGCTGTCCCTTCACACACCAAGGCCCCAAGGACTGGCCTTTGTTACCTGCCCTGGAATAGCCACAAAGCCCATGTGCTCAGCCCATGGGTGCTGTAACCCTTCCTGCTGAGCTCTGGAGATTGCCTAAGAAACGGGAGTGAGTTGCACTTAATGGAAGCACCCTGAGGGGCTGGAGGCTGGTGGATCAGCTCCAGACTGGAAGCCCCCTGGAGAACCAGGTCTTTTTCCCACATGCTATTTTCTGAGAGTGATACTTGTTTTAATCCATTCCTTATTTGTTGGTTTCGTGAAGTAAACAAATGCAAGTATTTTTCTAGGGTTTGAGCTGAGTATGTTGTTAACTGGTTATAATTTATCAGCCCCTTTTTGGTGAAGTACATTCCTATTGAAGAAGAAGAACTCTTATGAAATGCTTACTTGTTTTCATTCAGACTGGTTGTATCCATTTTTAAAATCAGTTTAGGGAGAAAAAATTTATTTACCCAGTGATTTGAGGTGGGCTCACATTTTAAAAAATCATAGTTATTTTAACTTTAAAAATAAAGATCTTTTGGAATGTATTGTTGATTAAAAATAATAAAGATTCTGAAATTATCTTTTCTTTAAAATGAAAACAAAGGATTTGCTAGGGTATTTCTGGTTTCATCGTAGGTCACCAGGAAGCATGCTTACATCAGGCAGTCACAGGTTCTAGGCACATAACACTTCTGTGGAGTTTGTCTTCTTTGGGAGCTGGACCTGCAGGAACTCTGGGGAACCCAGGCCATTTGTTCCATTTGAAAATAGCTAAAACATGAAGAAAAGGCAAATTCTTAACATTTTAAAAGGTTTTCTATCAAGTAATTTTAAAATTTCAAATGATGGCGTTGTATCCCATCCCTTCAGACCTGGAATCACATTTCCCCCTCAGGAAAGAAAGGGCTCTGCGGAAGCTGTGGCCTGGAAGGGGCTGCGTCTCACTTCTCTGCCCAGGAGCTGGTGAGGAAGGGTGACTAGGGGATGCCTTTCAGAAAAAAGGAGATGAGGAGATGAGCCCCCCTCCACATCTACCCCAAAGAGAGACCAGGGTTCTAGACTGACCACTTGCAGAGACGTTCACAAAGGAACTGTTGACGGCGGTGTAGGATTGGAGGGAGACCTACAGCAGCACTTCTCATCCTTGCCACTGTGGCACTGATTAGGGTGGTAGGGCTGCTGTGAACACTGGAGGACGCTGAGTAGCATCGCTAGCCTCTGCCTACATGCCAGTAGCGCTACCTCCTCCTAATTGTGACAGCCAAACATGTCTCCAGACACTGGCAGATGTACCCTGGGAGCAGTGTGCCCTCTGGCTGAGAACCATGGGTGAAGGGAAGCAGTAGTGATGCTGAGGCATCTAGAGAAGAGCAGTAGGAAGCCCTCCCCACCTTCCGGCTGAAAGGGGGAACCGGGAGAGCAGAAGTCAGGGAGGAGGGGCTGCCCCGCTGGTGGCCTAGGCATGGGGGATGCAGCCACTGCTGGAATCTTCACAACTTTCCAGGGAGGGTGCAAGAAAGAAATACTCCCAACTCCTCTCTCTTCTACTCTCCCATATACCAGTGTTCCCTTTCCATTAGGAGAATCCAGCTAGAAGCCTGGTGGCAAGGACACCTGGGTAAGGCAGTCTTTACAGATCAGCATCCTAGGGCACTGAGCAGGGTGGACAAGGGCAAAGAATGGAAAACAAAATTATCAGTCTGTTCATCCATCTGTCTGTCCGTCCATCCATTCATTCAGTACTTATGAGCAGCTTAGCAAAGTGGTCAAGAATGTAGGTGCTGGGCTGGGCGCAGTGGCTCACGCCTGTAGTCCCAGCACTTTGGGAGGCTGAGGTGGGTAGATTGCTTGAGCTCACCAGTTCAAGACCAGCCTGGGCAATATCGCGAAACCCCATCTCTACCAAAAATACAAAAATTAGCCAAGCAGGGTGGTATGCCTATAGTCCTAGCTACTTGCAAGGCTAAGGTGGGGACCAGACATGATGGCTCAAGCCTATAATCCCAGCACTTTGGGAGTCTGAGGCAGGCGGATCACAAGATCAGGAGATCAAGACCATCCTGGCTAACGGTGAAATCCCCGTCTCTACTAAAAATACAAAAAATTAGCCAGGTGTAGTGGCACACGCCTGTAGTCATAGCTACTCAGGAGGCTTAGGCGGGAGAATCACTTGAACCCAGGAGGTGGAGGTTGCAGTGAGCCGAGATCACGCCATTGCACTCCAGCCTGGCAACAGAGCAAGACTCCCATCTTAAAATAAAAAGAGAGAGGCTAAGGTGGGAAGATGGCTTGACCCAGGAGATGGAGGTTGTGGTGAACTGAGACCATGCCACTGCACTCCAGCCTGGGTGGCAGAGCCAGGAGCCAGACCGTTTCAAAAAAAAACTGTGTGTGTGTGTGTATGTGTGTGTGTTCTATGCTCTAGTCAGATATGCCTGGATTTATATATGGCCCTACCACTTGTGACCTGTATCCTATATGATCCTGAACAAGTTACTTATCTAAATCTCAGTCACCTTGAGTGTAAAATGGCAACAATAATTCTGTCTACCTATGTGACCTTATTGTTGCAATCTTGGATTTTTTTACCCCAGTGGGGAAAATACAAGTCACATGTAAATTGCATAGTATCAGACCACAATCAAGTGCTAAGTGGGTGGTATCTGGGAAGTACCCAGTGTTGCTTTTATGAACAATCCTGGGAAAGGAAAGACATGGGGTTCAGCCACAGAATGCACCCCTCAGCATCTTTGAGCGTTGTGCAGATACAGCAGAGAAAGAGGTCCCAGTGGGCTGAGAAACACCACAGGATCTGCGTTGTGTTCTGAGGGACAGGCGGGCAGGCTAAGTTAAAAGGAGGAAGAAGGAACACCAGAGCGGGGAATGGCAAGTGAATCAAAGCCAAGAGAGTTGGAGGGAGGGGAAGGCCCAGATCGCAGTAGGGGGAGACCACCGAGTAGAGGTTTGGCTGAGGGACTCAGTATTGTCTCCTGTGAAAGGATGGGGAGGGCTTGAGGCCAGCTGCCTTCCTTAGTACTATTGTATTACATAGGGGTCACAAACTCTCATGTCCACAGAGACCAGGCAAGTGAGCATGAGTGTGAAAGGGGTGCGGTGGGAGGCAGTAGGGTGCTCCCAGGCTGGAAGCAGAGCCGCCTTCTGTAGGCATGGTGACCGCCCTGCTCCAGGTAGCCATTGCCATCCTCTAATGCAGACCTAGAGATATCAGAGTCAAATTTTCTGAATTTTCAAAAGATGCTAGAAAATTGGATCTTTCTAAGAAACATCCTGTTTTTTAAGTCCATGTGAGCTGTAATAACAGTTCCTTTGACACGGCTGACGGATCCCGACAGGGGTGCAAGAGACCATTCAGTACAGTTTAGCTGACACAACTTGGCTTAGAACCCTAGCTGTGTGTGTTTGGTTGGGTCCTGCCTACAAATATACATTCTTTTTAAACAGTAGGCTCTAAGACTTAAAATAAAAAGGAGGCCAAAATGGTGGCTCACATCAGCAATCCTAGCCCCTTGGGAGGCATAGGTGAATGGATCACTTGAGCCCAGGAGTTCAAGACCAACCTGGGCCACATGGAAAAAACTTGTCTCTACAAAAAATTCAAAACTTAGCGGGGCATGGTGGTTTATGCCTATAGTTTCAGCCACCCAGGAGGCTGAGGTGGGAGGACGGCTTGAGCCTGGGAGGTTGCTGCAGTGAGCTGTGATTGTGTCACTGTGCCCTAGCCTGGGCAACAGAGTAAGACCCTGTCTCAAAAAAATAAACAAACATAAACAAAAAGGAGAAAGATGGGTCCACATGGGTCAGGTGAAGTCTGAGTTCCCCCTAGACTTAATACTATGGCCAGGTAGGGAGTGGGGGAAAGGGATGGCTGTGGACGAGGGCAGAGAGGGAGGGTGAGCCATAGTCCTGGTGCTGCACATGGCCCTGGCACTTGGCCCAGTGCATGCTGGGACTAGTGCTGCCCTTGAGAGCTCTAGCCAGCACATTTGGTTCTTCTTTGATGAAACTTTTTTAATTTTCAGATAAAGAACAGAGACTAATACCACAAACACCCATGTTCCCCATCCTAGACTTCCTACTGGGTTCTTTGAAGCTGGGAGGACCATCCCCCTCCATTCCTCAGGACACTGACCTTCCTCTGGACCATTTGTCTCCAGTAGGGGTCAGCTGGGAGCTCTGATCAGTGGTAAAGGTTGAAATGATGGCATTTGATGGCATGGACATGAATGTACTTACAGAGTGCCCTGCCTGGAATCCCAGCTCTGAGCTCTGATGGCCCTGGAAGGTGGAGAGCCCTGGCTAGTCTAGGAGTAGAGTTACCCTCTACTCCTAGAGGAGTAGGGAAGGCAGGGGACAGAGAGGCTTCTGGCAGCACCAGGAAAAGTTGAATGGCAGAGTCAGCTGAGCCAAGTTTATTTTTCATGGCTAAAGTTCAGGCTCTTGCCCTGCTGAGGGGAAATGAAGAAGACCATGGAAAAGACTAGAAATAATGAGGTTATCTGGAAACAGCCTCATGAAACCTGAGTGTATTTTTTCTCAGAAAAAAGAAAGCCCAGTAACACTCACTCCATCAAACGCTGCCTTTGCTGTCCAGTTCTCCCTTCAGTGAGTAGGCAGCTTGTCTCCTTGTGGCCCAAGCTTGGGGGTCCTCACTCCCTTCTGGTTGTGCATGTCCTCTCACCTGCCCTGCTTGGCCATGTCCCCTCTGTGAAGCCTCCTCCCCACTCCACATTTATTTTCCTTTCTGTCCCTTCATTACCCCTACTCATGATATAATTTATCTGTGTCACACACCATCTTTGACTGCTTCCTAACACTTGGGGGGGGTCAGCTTGCCTCTAACATCTCTTCACTGTCTGAGGGAAGGGAGTGGGAGGTTTTCCTCATGTTTCACACAGTCCTGTCCACACACAGGTGATCAATAAAGACTTGTGTGTAGATAAAATATCAGATTGATGGGTGAGTGGGTAGATGGGTGGTGAGTTGGTTGGATGGCAGGGCCACCCAACACCTTGGCCAGCCCCGCTAAGGCTGAGGGATTTTTCAAATGCCTGAAGGAAGATTCTCCAGACCTAGGGAGAGGGAGAATTCAACCCATCGCCATTTGCACAGCAAGTGCTGTGCTGATTGCCCTCTTTGAGATGGACTAGAAGGCAGACTTGACCAATGGCCTTAGTCTAGAAGGCATCTCCCCACAATACTTTAAAATCAGACCGTGGGCTTTTTAAAATCCATGGTCTGAAATCATTTTCAAGGTTGGCACCTGGAAAACATCTTTGACATCTTTCAGTTAGTACAGTTGAAAGCAACTTCAAAGCCTGTGACTTACCTGTCTACCTGCCTAGAAATTAATAATCACTTCCTCTAGTTGAAGAAATGAGAGGCTATGCTGGAGCCAGCACACTGCATGAGGCCTGGACCCTGGGGGGGCAGTTCCAGCCCTGGGGGGCAGGGGGACCTCTTCATGAAGGCAGAGCAGAAGCACCAGGAAATACTGGCACATAACAAGGTTTCTGATAGCTAAGCATCTGCCAGATGGAAAGCCCTGACTGGTGTGGCTGGGGCAGTAGCAAGAGGAAGGCTGTACTGCAGCATCCCTGAAGCCTCTGGTTTGCTTCCCTCCTCTGCAATCCATTGAGTTATCCATTCACAAGGATAGAAGGCACCAGATTAACCAATTCTAAATGCTGATCTGTTGCATTTCCAACATGATTCCAAATGACTGCATGTTAATCCCCTCATGCAGGCCTAAC